CCGTCTCCAAGCATAATTAGTCTCAAAGTGGGTTCTTCGTCCCCAAATTTGCCAGATGTTGTTGTTATTGCTTTTTTATTTAATATGAAATTTCACTACATTCTTCCCCCCTCCTCAAAGAATTCAATTTTTTGCAATTATTTTGATTTTATCTTCAAATGGGAAGGGGGGAGGTGCACACCCAGTGCACTGGGCCTGTATCCACCCCTTGAGTTTTTGCATAAACATCCTCAACAAACATGTGCCAGAAGAAAAGTAATGAAGTTAAAACACCAGAAAATAGGGACTTAAACAAAACAGACAACTATTAAATGAAATTAAAATGAACACTTTTAAATATTTCATGTTCTTTCATATGCTCTTCCTAGATCTGATTAAGTGTGCTGTCCAAGGATGCAATCAGCCACACATTTTCAAAACAAATTCACTTCCTGATAGAAACAATTAGAATTGTATACTCTTTATTACACCAACATATGTAGGACTCAGTTAGAATTAACACAAACCTGATTCAGGAGTTTCTCAGAATGTGAAACATACTTAGGGTTAACATATACCTGATTCAGAAGTTTCTCAGACTGTGAAACATACTTAGGATTAACACAAACCTGATTCAGAAGTTTCTCAGACTGTGAAACATACTTAGGATTAACACATACCTGATTCAGAAGTTTCTCAGACTGTGAAACATACTTAGGATTAACACAAACCTGATTCAGAAGTTTCTCAGACTGTGAAACATACTTAGGGTTAACACAAACCTGATTCAAAAGTTTCTCAGACTATGAAACATACTTAGGGTTAACACATACCTGATTCAGTAGTTTCTCAGACCGTGACACATACTTAGGGTTAACACACATACCTGATTCATCAGTTTTCTCAGACTTTGAAACATACTTAGGGTTAACACACATACCTGATTCATCAGTTTTCTCATACTTTGAAACATACTTAGGGTTGACACATACCTGATTCAGTAGTTTCTCAGACCGTGACATATACTTAGGGTTAACACACATACCTGATTCATCAGTTTTCTCATACTTTGAAACATACTTAGGGTTGACACATACCTGATTCAGTAGTTTCTCAGACCGTGACATATACTTAGGGTTAACACACATACCTGATTCATCAGTTTCTCAGACTTTGAAACATACTTAGGGTTAACACATACCTGATTCAGTAGTTTCTCAGACTGTGACACATACTTAGGGTTAACACACATATACCTGATTCAGGAGTTTTTCAGACTGTGAAACATACTTAGAGTTAATACATATGTGATTCAGCAGTTTCTCAGACTGTGACACATACTTAGGGTTAACACATACCTGATTCAGGAGTTTCTCAGACCGTGACACATACTTAGGGTTAACACACATACCTGATTCATCAGTTTTCTCAGACTTTGAAACGACTGCTTCTGGAGAAGTATCCTTGTTGACTGGTGAAAGAAACTGCAAACTGAAAATAAATTCCGATATTTTAAACTTATCACTAAATAGATTGAAAATGAATTTTTTTGTGTTATTTTCATCAATTTTAAAATGGTGTTTGTCAGTTATGTAAAGATATGTGTATGCATGAACTCAACACAAGAAAGATTTTATTTTTATTCATGCAAAGCTACAGAAGGCATATTTTTCCTAGCTGTCCCAAATTTTGAGGTGATAAGACTAGAGAGAAGGCAAACAGTCAATAGCACCCACCGACAAGTCTTGGACTGCTTTAATGAACTAGTGGGTTTTGACTGAAACTCTTATAATACAGCCATGGCCCCAAACCATTAAGCACAATTTTGTTGTAACAGAACATGAGTGACAGTTTGGCATCCTAACCACTAAACCGTGCCTGGCTCTCTACCAAACAGAACTAGTAACCCATCTAAATTACTCCAAACACATTAGTTTATATATACCTATGATATTTGATACTTACCTCTTGTATGCTGTATCAAAATCAAATTGGTTAGTACACTAAAACATTACTTCAGACCTCCTTGTTAAATCACAACTATAAAATGCTAAAATCAGAGGTTTGATTCCCCTCGATGGACACGGCAGATTGTCTGATGTGGATTTACTATAATCAACACACGCACACACAACAATACTAAAAATACTTATTACCAACAATAATATTAAAACAAACAATGCACCACATGTAACTATAACTGTTCTTTATGTATTAGCTATTTGTTGAAACTATCACTAGTTCTGAGAAGTAAAAATATCATACCAGTCTCTATCAATTTTATCCTTTACCTTAGATTAAGAAGTAAAAAATGTCATACCAATCTTTACCAATTTTATCCTTTACCTTAGATTAAGAAGTAAAAAATGTCATACCAATCTTTACCTATTTTATCCTTTACCTTAGATTAAGAAGTAAAAAATGTCATACCAATCTTTACCTATTTTATCCTTTACCTTAGATTAAGAAGTAAAAAAATGTCATACCAATCTTTACCAATTCTATCCTTTAACTTAGATTAAGAAGTAAAAAATGTCAAACCAATCTTCACCAATTCTATCCTTTAACTTAGATTAAGAAGTAAAAAATGTCAAACCAATCTTTACCTATTCTATCCTTTAACTTAGACTTAGAAGTAAAAAAATGTTATACCAATCTTTACCAATTTTATCCTTTAACTTAGATTAAGAAGTAAAAAATGTCATACCAATTTTATCCTTTACCTTAGATTAAGAAGTAAAAAATGTCATACCAATTTTATCCTTTACCTTAGATTAAGAAGTAAAAAATGTCATACCAATTCTATCCTTTAACTTAGATTAAGAAGTAAAAAATGTCAAACCAATCTTTACCTATTCTATCCTTTACCTTGTACTGAGAAGATAAAACAACGTAGTAATCTTTACCTCTTCTACCCTTTAACATGTACTGATTTTTTATATAAAATAATGAGAGAGAGACACATCAACAAGGAACAAGGAAAAAAAAGTTACTCAGAAACAATTATGGGATGTTTGGTAAAAGATAAATAGAGATCAAGTGTAGGACGTTTACTGTCTAATGCAACAAAAACTGTTTTATATCAAAATACACGTATAACGAGTGTATAATAAGGGTATGTAAGTTTGGAGGTATTTCAAACCGAAAACAAAATGTTTAATAACAATACGAAAATAACGGGAAAAAAAGTAGTGTAAGCTCACCTGAGAAGGTATTGTACTAGATAGTAATGCAAAACCATGTGTTGCTGTTGAAAATGAAGTCGTTGAAAAGTTTCATCCCGTTTCAGTTGACTCTGCAGGGAGCTGTCATGAACACGAGAAATTCATCTGTACATTAAATTTGGAACCAATACGTTTGTTTTAAAGCTGTCGAGACTACTAAAAAAACCAATTGAGTTAAAAACTGTTATAGAAATATGTTGACTGCGAATGGGTTTTTTTTTTTTCTACATTCATCTTACATTCTTTTTTTTTTTTATATACATCACTAACTCTGAGCCTCAACGGAGAAATTATGAGATGCGTAAAAATAAAAACATCTGAAGTTTATCCATTTTTATAACGATTACTAAGCCTATTGGTTTTTCCTATATTTCACCAGTTTTCGGTGTTTAAACCATAATATTCAAAGTATCAAACTGCACGTATTAAAAGCATTTCATAGAATCTTTTGTCTCTCATCATTCATCACAATGATGAGTTCTGGTACTGAACAAAAAGATTACTGGTCAGTGTCTTGTAGGAGATAGATTTGATTTTTTTTTAATTTCAAGCTGCAACAGACCAATTAATTGTATGTGGAAAAAACAAATTTCAGTTAAGTTGTTTTTATAAAACTATTAATCCTAATTCTATGTGCTTATTAACTGCCTTATATCAATGATGTAGTTCTCTCAGGTTTGTTAAGAAGTAATTTAAATTTTTAAGGTAATACAGTTTAAAAAATAGTGTTAATGCAAAAGATCTGTTTATTTTATAAATTTTATGGAGAAAATAATTGTTACTATCCATTATGCATTGACAAAGAACACACTCACAAAAATCCTGTATGAAAATTATTTAGATGTAAACTTCACTCTCAAAATACTCTATTGCGCTACAAGATAAATGATTAGAGACAAACTTACTTCAACATGATTACTGAACTGTCAGTTTAAGTTTGGTTAGAAAACGTACTTGTAAAAAATCTGGTACTCTCGTAAGTTTGGTTAGAAAACGTACTTGTAAAGAATCTGGTACTCTAGTAAGTTTGGTTAGAAAACGTACTTGTAAAAAATCTGGTACTCTCGTAAGTTTGGTTAGAAAACGTACTTGTAGAGAAATCTGGTACTCTTGTAAGTTTGGTTAGAAAACGTACTTGTAAAGAATCTGGTACTCTTGTAAGTTTGGTTAGAAAACGTACTTGTAAAGAATCTGGTACTCTTGTAAGTTTGGTTAGAAAACATACTTGTAAAGAATCTGGTACTCTCGTAAGTTTGGTTAGAAAACATACTTGTAAAGA